AAGTAGATGAAGTAGCAAGGGCATCTTCTTCAAGCAGAGGTGCGGAGATACTCGACTAAGCAGTCATTTGCCTCTTTCATCACAGTCTTGTAGGAGAACTCGCCCAAAGGTTAATTCCTTCCCTACCCTATTTTATAGGTGTGTTGACAAAGGAAGGGTGTAACCCAACAAGGAAGGGGCACATTACCACTCTTACCATTACGGAAAGTAGGGTTAGCGTCCTACCTTCTTCTTCTTTGTTTCTCTAATTTCATACCAGCTTCTGAGTGGAAAAGAGAAGAGCAGCAAGAGAAGCTGCAAGACCAGATACCAGAGAATCAACCGGGAATCCACAGAAGAAGCTCGACCAGGGGTTTCAAACTAAACTGATTGACAACCAAGGGGTTTCCCACCTCAACAGGAAGAGAATGAGGCATCTAGCTCAGTAGCAGCGAGAGAGGGCTCTACTAAAGGAGAGGTTTGAAGATCTCGATTGTAAGGAGAGGAATGAAGTTCTCTTAAGCAGCTGGCTTCCTCCTGAGCTCTAGTTCAGTTCCTCGGATTGAGATAGAGAGCCTATCGACCCCTTCCCTTACTCAATAGGACTAAATAAATAATTAATATAGATAAAGGTCTGAATGATTGGCTTGTCTAAGGCTGACCGTACCTAGTGCTTTGCTTAGTTAGTCGTTTACCTTTGCTTTGGAAAGATGATGTTGGAAAGCGGTTAGGAAGCAACTCCTTATAAACCAGGGGCACTGACTTTCATTCCCGAAGGCTAGGCAACAAGTGTAGAAAGGGGATGACTCATTTATATGAGAAACTATCTTATGAAAGATATTTTACGGATTCGATTGCAGCATATGACAAATGCTTTAGTTTACTTTATATCTAGTTATTCTAAAAATGACCGGGGGCTTCAACCAGATTTCGCCTTATGCATCGGGAATTGGATCAAGATCAACTGCTTTTTAATTAAGCTTTTGGATCTGGCTCTCGAATTTACTATTGAAAAGGAAGGGATGTTGGGCGAGGTGATGGCTCTCTTTCAAGATATGCATCTCGAACCAGGTCTCCAACCGACACTTAAATTAGCCCTGCACTGGGGGTGCCCCTCCCCGGTCTCAAGAACTCGAGCGGTCTTAACTTAATAGGTACTGGTAGCCGATTCGTATTGTATAGCTGCTGGGAAGCATAAAGATCGATCAATGTCCTGATTGCAAGGCATTAAGATGTCAATGCCTAGTAGTGAATGTGTTCCCGGTGGGTCTATCGTCAGTGTTCTAGTGCAAATAATATATCTATGTTTTTCAAAGCACGTCAAGACCAAAACAAAGCAAACGAACTGCAGGTTACTTTGATCTCACGCGGGCCTATACTTCGGCAACTAAGAAGGGGGCTGGGCAATAAGGAGGCTCCTAGCTAAACTTGTCTCGTTCGCAAATGAACCCAACGTCAGGAAATGAAAGAGGCCGCCCTAAGCACCATGCCTGTTTTGATCCTTGTTCCCCTTCTCGCCTCGCCCTATCCGACTGGACACCACATCTCATCTTTAACTCATTCCGACACTGTGAGATCCTATGGTCACGCCTTAGTTCGAAGGGCTAAACGGGCTTTATAAAGAAATGCGACTCTCCACCTATTTCATTATGTGCTTACCCCCCTTCTGTGCTAAAAAAAAGATAGTAGATAACGTAAGACTTTGCTTGGCTTGCTCCGAGCCATCTTGTTAAGGAAGGGCGACTAGGGTGGGAAATGAAGAAGAATGGAATTCAAAATAAGGAGATGAGAAGGAAGACTCTTATCTTAGTTATTGAATGCGAGCCACTACATAGGTGGAATTTTATAAGCTCCTTTAGGCCCGACTATCCCGTAGAGTCTTAGGCTTTTTGCCACTTTCCATGACACAAGGTCGGGGTCCTTACGAATAGGACACATATACACCAAACCTTTGAAGGATGAGGTTCCAGCTTGCCATTCCTATTATTTATAGGCTTCTAGTCTCCTCAGAAGTCCTCTCTGCTATCTTCGCAGAATTCACCCGACTCTCTTACTCACATTCGCGTCTAGGGCATGATGTCTTTAATTTAAGATGATTCAATTGGTCAATCGTCTTGTTATTCTTCTGGGCCTCTCTACGGGATTGGAAGAAGGAGTTTTCACCCAAATGAGTTAGAGTTCCTCCGAACCGTGTCATTCTCAAAGTATGGCACAACACTCTGTCGAAAACATGAGGCGGGAGTGCGTTGAAGCATGAATTGACCTAGCGACGTGAACCTTGGGTGAGGTGCAGTGCACTAGCGAGCGACTTCCTTCCCCAAAACCAAAAGAGAATGCCGTTATCATTATCATGCGCGAAGCTAAGCTTGATAGGAGCCCGAGCTAAGAGAATAGAGAAAACTCGACGTCACAAAAACAGGGATAGATCGCTCAAGGGAGCAACTCGAGATAGATGCAAGATTCTTTCTCCTGCCCTTCACTTAGAAAGAAAAGTCAATTTTTCAGCACGCACTGATTCCTAAGTTTTGTCGGTCGAATAGCCTTCTTGTGTGACCTTCCACGGGGTGGCAAGCTTTAGAGAATAAGGGCGAGGTCCCCATACTACATAAGGCCGTAAGCAGTGGCTCGACGGAGATGGTTCGAATCAAGCGAAACCAAAGGCATTCGTTGGCACCCGAGGTGCTAAGGATCGAAGACTAAATTTTGGGATATGGAATAGTACTTTCTGTTTGTGCCCCTTTTTACGACCAAGTCACAATGGCTAGTATCTATCTGGGGATGCGCTGCTGTGGTGACGGACACGATATGAGGACATGCTGGAGGGCTGTTACGAGATCAACGTCTGGCTGGGATGGGAGGAACTAAATAGGGAGCTCAAGGAAAGGAGCAGTTCCTGCCTGGGAACATTGTATGGCTTGCACGAGAGTCCCTGATGCGGGCCGACACTGTTCGAGAAAATCAAAGCAGACCATGAGGGACTGACCCGAGCTATAGACAAAGAAGGACTTTGATAGATAGAATAAGACACTAAGACATCAAAAAGAGGGATACTTCACTATGAATGGTAACATATGAATTGAAACTAATGCGAAGGGTGTCAATTACCAAAAACGACTCGATCACTAACTCAGTCCCGCGGGACATTTCTAACACAAGGCCGAAGATGGATGCGAAGAATATTTGACTCTCAAACCATCACACGTATTCCAACCCAACAGCCCATGATATAGTAAGAACGGAATGGAAAGGCAAAAAAACGATTCTATATGCAGACGTGAAAGCTCTATCGATAAAAGCATTCATTCTAGCCTATGTTTTTTTAGAGAGGAACGATTCCCTCGTCTGAGAACCACCATTCATGCACTATTCCTCCCCACTAAAAAGAGCGATTGATAATCTCGATAACCTAAAAAAATGCAGAAGTGAGCGTACCCCAAAGCTATCCTCTCTTCCTCTTTTTTAGCTTTAGCCAACCCCATTTTTTTTCCACCTTAAATTGGTCAAAGCCAAAAATATGATAAATAGAAGGAAGAGAGATCAGAAAGATAGGCGGACGACTTGACTATAGTATAGGTCGGATGTTTCCGTGAGTAGTAAGCAGCAGATCTCCCCTTATTTATTTCATTTTTGAAAGCTGGTGGCCGCCTGTGAATTCTTTCAACGCAAGGGGCGGCCTGATTCAACATTGTTGTTTACTCTGATCCGGTCGAGGTGGTTTTCGTTTACCAGCGCGTAGGCGGTCTAAGTTCCTATGACTGAGTCTTTCTGGCCCCTGTGAACATCTTTTCTTAATGTATTAAAGAGGGCCTCTCTAACCGGTGAAAAGTGGTGGGTGTCCACTAACGGCCATTCCTGGCTCGACTCCGATAACGCAATTTCGGAAGGAGTCGGTAGTTGGGCACTGGATCCCTTCGAACCTGGAGAACGCGTGACGCTGGGTCGGGGTTTGGTGAACCAACTGGTCGCTCCTCTAGTTGAAGTCTAGGGCCCCTTTTTCTTTCGTTGCCTAGGTTACACCTTCGGAATACCCTAGAAGGGAATTTATCTCTATTTCCCTCAATCTTCACTTTACTCCACGCCGACTCTCCTTTCGTCATAAGGCGTTGAATTAGACCAAGGGGAATCTCCATAGGAACTAGTCCCTTAGATTTCGGATGTAGGAGATCGAGACACAACCCCAGGGCTATGAGGAAAGATGTAGATCGATCGCCTCAGATAGACAACTACATAGAGGGTCTCTACAATTCTATATATTCTTTTATATTTAGTTCCCCCCGTAAGATCACCAATGAGGTCTGCAAGTTTCACATCTAAGTAATACCCGATCCGATAGTTTACGATATATATTTAACAACAACATTCTAAGCTAAGAAAGGAGATTTTTAGATATCAGTAGTTGTCCGGTCGTACCCAAACAGTAAGATTCCAGAGGAAAATGCACCTAAGATCAAATATTTCGAGCCGGCTTCCGTGGAAAATTCAGACTTTCTTTTTGATGCTGCCATCACATAAAAACATAAACTTTGAGGTTCAACAGCTAAATACATGGCAATTGAATCATGAGTCGAGATCATAAAGAGCATACTGTGAGTAGGAAGTGGAATTAATACAATGAATTCAAAAGCATCAAACCTCTCTTGTTCGGAAGAATCGAAACACATCGAAATGGTACCAGCCGTACTTAATAATATAAGGATTTGGCAGAAATATGTAAAATTGTCCCTCCTAAAAAGATTATTCCGGAATAAATGGGCAATAGTTAGGAGAGGTGCGCCAACGGCGAGCAGAAGCAAGGTTATTAGATACCTCAGGATATCCCGGCCAGAACCACACGTGCAAGTTTCCCTGCATGTGGCTCGTCCGTGATAACTTATTCGGATTTGCATGAACTAGCGGACCGATCACTAAGTGGGGATGCTCCCTCCAGCATGAGTGAACCTTTTTGAAACAGGTTAGGAATGGGCCCAACCAGGTTCTATTGATTATGTCCCCTTCCCCCTTGTCTTGGGGCGTCTTTGGCTTTACGAGAGAAAGCCCGCCATAAAAGTTTTTATCTTCTCATCCTGGAGAATATTCCGGTGCGTCCATAGAAGAGGAAATTGCAATGCATCTTTCTCAACAGGCGTAGCTTGGAGTGGAAGTGTAGCGTGGGTAAGCTGAGTGGCCGCCAGAGAGGAAGTCGACCTATTAAGTGCAGCTAAGCTAATATGCACCGGATAAAGCCTGGTGCCGGAGGTAAGGTCTATTCTTTTTGGCCCGGAGCATTGATTCCCCATAACGAATAGGCTAGCTTTATCTCTCAATTGCCTATCCTGTGCTCGAGAAGGTCCCCCACTCGGCAGAACCTCGAGTGAGGTGCATTTAGTTGTATTACATGAGACTCAGGGTATTCCTCACTCCATGGCACCTTTCGCTCATCCATTCCGCCCGTCCAGATGCGGCGCCTTTTTTCATTATCATCTACCGCCCTTCTTTCCTCCCGGCTATTCATGCATGAAGATCGTCGTATGTATGCTCGACTTCAGTTTCCGGTGCGTGTAGGTAGGAGTACATTATGGCAGGATCAGTCACCCGAGCAAACCAACCCTCCTCCAAGAAGAATTGTGCTATGCCCTCCCGATCCCTATAGAGCAAAAGAGCTGCCTGGTGATCCCTAGGTTGCAGCACGTCTGGTCGTTAACTCCTCGCGCCGCTGCCGCCTTTTCTAGGACCGACCGACGCCTCATATGCACAGGTACCTACGTAGTGTAGTGTCGGTCGCACATTCAACATAGCGTTCAGACTCATGTGCCTTCCAGAACCAGAGGTATTCGAGCCAGCTACGTACGATTAGCCAGCCTTGCGGCTGCAAAAGGATTAGACATCCTCCCATACTACGGTTCCCTGCGGTCTGAACCTGGTGCCGCATTAGGTTAGGGAGCTGGGGTTTTTTCGCTCCTCTCACATTCATTCGTTCGAGCTGCTTCGCTCCTCCGCATCCCAAAGTGCGTTGCCCTCCTAGGCGCGAAACACTAAGTAATCCAAGCCAACCCACATTACTGACTAACGGTGGATAATCATATTTCTTAGAGGTACTAAATACAACTCCATGAATGAGAAAAATGGAGGTTGCATTAATGATAAATATCTCTGGGGAAATCGCTAAAAAAAGATTGAACATGTGGTGGGAGGATCCGAACTAATTTAGTTTTCATTTTCCCGTATGGAGCACTTAGTGATAAACGTTACGATATTCAACAGGCAGGTTGGTTGCCCCCCGTCCTTTCTTGCTCTCGGTCCCACCTAGTGCCGCTACCCACCTCTACTCGGATCTCTTCCTAGAGCCATAGATCATAGTTTCTTACCGCCGTCATAAGACGTTGGAAGGCCCGTGTGTCTCGGGTACCCAACCGGTAGATACTTCGTAGATGGGAGCGGTACTGCCGCACGGATAGTGCCCTACCTCGATAATAAAATATTATCCCTCTTATCCGATGGTGGTTCTCAAAGATCCGAGTCGGATTGAATCCGCTATGAAATAAAGCAGATTCAATTAGCCTTTCTATCCTGGTTTGTACCGATATAGTGTCGCTAATTCTATATAGGGTTGGATTTTCCCCTAACATATTGACCAATAAACTGGAGTAAAGCTCCCCCTCCCTTTGGAGGTCCGGTATTATTTGCTGCGCAAAAACCGGAACCTCCGGGGGAGCTGGGGGAACCTCCCAAACCTCTGGGGCAGCGGGGGGCACCTCAAAAACCTCTGGGGCTACCCGAATCCCCACAACTGGCGGTGAAGGAGGTCCCTCCACACCTCCCACCCCATTGCATGTTGCGACCCCCGCCGGCAGAAAAACTAATTATAGATAGAATAATATTGATTTAAAGAATGTAGAAAGTTGTCAAGTCTATACCATAAAAAAAAAGTCGAGCGGTCAAGCTACCTGCGCCTGTCTGGTCCAACCGTTTTGCGGCTCTTTCTAAGATATGGGAATGTAAATAGAAAACACCACCTGGGAAAGCCTCACGGCCTGGTGGTCGGCATAACAATAATGATATTGTCGATATGCCACGACCTGTTTACTAAGATCATCATAGATTATTAATGCGTGCATTCCATTATCGCGGAAATATTCCCCCATGGCACACCCAAAATATGGGGCCAGAAATTGCAGAGGTGTTGGATCCGAAGCGGTGGCTGCTACAAGAATGGAATATTCTAAAGCATTCGCTTCTGAAAGAATTTGAACTAATTGTGCCACAATTGAGCGTTTCTGTCCAATCGCTACATAGACACAATACAATGTCTCACTCTCAGAGGTGGCCATTGAGTTCATTTGCTTTTGGTTTAATATGGTATCGATAGCTATAGCTATTTTTCCAGTTTATCGATCCCCGATTATAAGTTCTCGTTGACCACGGCCTATAGGAACCAGGCTATCTACTGCTTTTAACCCAATTTGCATAGGCTCGTGCACTGATTTACGTTCTATAATCCCAGGGGCTTTCACTTCGACACGTCTTCACTCGTGATCGCTTAGAGCCCCTCTTCCATCAATAGGTACTCCCAACGCGTCGACCACACGCCCTAGCATAGCCTTTCCCGCAGGAACATCCACAATAGATCCAGTACGTTTGACAAGATCTCCTTCTTTGATAGAGGTATCACTACCAAAGACAACAATTCCGACATTCTCATTCTCAAGATTCAACGCTATTCCTTTCACACCGCTGGAAAATTCAACCAATTCCCCAGCTTGAATCTCATTCAATCCATAAACACGTGCAATCCTATCTCCAACTGAGACCACTCGACCAATCTCATCCACTTGAAAATTTGTGTAAAAGTTGGTAATTCGACTTTCTAATAGAGTTGTTAATTCCGCAGCTCTTACAGAGAATTCCATATTTTTTAAAAATGAATTTTACTGGGGTAATGCCGCAAAAGAGGAATCCATCAAGGATTGATTTATCTTTGATTGAAGGTCCTCGCCTAGCCTCTTAATAAGTTAAGGTCCCATTTCCTTTTCTTGATCTAATCCCTTCTTATTAAGATCAGTTAATCGTCTCTATAGTGAGTGTTCGGACAATACTTTTTTGCTTGAGCCATTCTGTAATCATTCCATACCTTCTACATTCTTAGTCTTTGCTATACGACAACAAGGGGATTGGACTACTTATATAAGATTGGAAGGCTGCAACTGGAGGCAATTGGACGAAAGTTGGTAAATAAATTCCATGCCTTAAGCATAGTAAAGTCACACATCCACTAAATGCAATAAAAATAAGGATGAAAAAGAAAATTTCTTACTCCCTTGCAGGCAAAAGAAATAACGCATACCAATGCCTTCTCTCGGCCTAAGGATAAGGAGTGTTTTCTAGGATGCTAAAGAAAAGAGATGGCTAAGGGGCGTAGCGGGAAGTCAAGCAGGAAAGTCATTAGTGACGGCGTATTCTCTATCCGGCAAGAGCTATGTTGATGCCCCCTACCAAGGGGTAACTTCCCGGTTTATAAGCCCTTCCCTTCCATTATTAAATCCATCCATGACATTGTGTATATAACAAAACCCACTTGACCTTCCCGCTTTCCTGTAGAATCAGAAAAGCAAGCTCAAATCCCTGTCGAATCTTTCGGTTGCCTGCCGACCTATTGCATTAAAGACCGACAATCGAATCTTTGCTTGGCTTGACGATCCCTTTCGAATCAGCTGAAAGCCCGACCCCTTCCCAATGTTTTCAAAGCGGAAGGCAGAATCTCGGATAGTTGGTTCATGCGTTAGGTCAACCATTCCTCTAGCATTCCGAAGTGAGAAGCCAAGTGAACGAGCTCTGTTTTTCGAGAATGCAAGTTCCATTCGCAAAGCCCAAGCCAAAAGCGAGTAGACCGAACTGCTTGCTTATGTGAGGTTCTTTCCTCTCGCTTGTTCATCTTGTTTTGAGTACTCGACGAAATAATAGCATAAAAGAAGATATTGGACAATTAAGTCCACTTCGATATCACACCTATTTGAGTCGGGAGTTCCTCCTTTGATTCTAGCCTTGCTTGGGAGGGAACCAAAGAGTATAGTATCTCGGATAGCCTTTTTTGCATTCGGGCATGCATGCCCATATTCAGCGACCTACTGGATGCTGGATTAAGAAAGGAATAAACATTCCCTCAATCTTCACTTTACGCCACGCCGACTCTCCTTTCGTCATAAGGCGTGGAATTAGACCAAGGGGAATCTCCATAGGAACTAGTCCCTCAGATTTCGCACGTAGGAGATCGAGACATAGCCCCAGGGCTATGAGAAAAGATGTAGATCAATTGCCTCAGATAGACAACTACATAGAGGGTCTCTACAAGTCTATATATTCTTTCATATTTAGTTCCCCCCGTAAGATCACCAATGAGGTCTGCAAGTTTCACATCTAAGTAATACCCGATCCGATAGTTTACGATATATATTTAACAACAACATTCTAAGCTAAGAAAGGAGATTTTTAGATATCGGTAGTTGTCCGGTCGTACCCAAACAGTAAGATTCCAGAGGAAAATGCACCTAAGATCAAATATTTCGAGCCGACTTCCGTGGAAAATTCAGACTTTCTTTTTGATGCTGCCATCACATAAAAACATAAACTTTGAGGCTCAATAGCTAAATACATAGCAATTGAATCATGAGCCGAGATCATAAAGAGCATACTGCGAGTAGGAAATGGAATTAATACAATGAATTCAAAAGCATCAAACCTCTCTTGTTCGGAAGAATCGAAACACATCGAAATGGTATCGTTCGTACTTAATAATAGAAGGATTTGGCAGAAATATGTAAAATTGTCCCTCCTAAAAAGATTATTCCGGAATAAATGGGCAATAGTTAGGAGAGGTGTGCCAACGGCGAGCAGAAGCAAGGTTATTAGATACCTCAGGAAAGCCCGACCAGAATCACACATGCAAGTTTCCCTACATGTGGCTCGTCCGTGATAACTTATTCGGATTTGCGCGAACTAGCGGACCGATCACTAAGTGGGGATGCTCCTTCCAGCATGAGTGAACCTTTTCGAAACAGGTTAGGAATGGGCCCAGCCAGGTTCTATTGATTATGTCCCCTTCCCCCTTGTCTTGGGGCGTCTTTGGCTTTACGAGAGAAAGCCCGCCATAAAAGTATTTATCTTCTCGTCCTGGAGAATATTCTAGTGCGTCCATAGAAGAGGAAATTGCAATGCATCTTGCTCAGCAGGCGTAGCTTGGAGTGGGAGTGTAGCGTGGGTAAGGTAAGTGGCCGCAAGAGAGGAAGTCGGCCTATTAAGCGTAGCTAAGCTAATATGCGCCGGATAAAGCCTGGTGCCGGAAGTAAGCTCTATTATTTTCGGCCCGGAGCATTGATTCTCCATAACGAATAGGCTAGCTTTATCTCTTAATTGCCTATCCTTTTCTCGAGAAGGTCCCCCACTCGGCAGCATTCCGAGCGAGGTGCATTTAGTTGTATTACATGAGACTTGGGGTATTCCTCACTCCATGGTGTTTCACCCCAGATTTTGACCCCTTAGATCCTCATCATCATTGTAGGATCATATTTGCTTGATTAACTAACCTTAACCCATTTTCAGTTTATCTTTGTTAAGATGCAGATGAATCAGGGTTCCGTACCGTCAAAATCGAGGCTTCGATGGTTTAATCAATCAATGTTTTGGATTGATTCAACTTCAAACAAGATCAAGGATACTACATTGGGTCAAGTATGAATTCAATTTGAGGTGGTCACCCAAGAATTGAGAATAGTGCAATTTGAGATACCCGATTAGGATTTTCGATTAGAAAAAGTCAACTGTAGCTTGACTTTTGATTCAAAGAGTATTTCAATGGTGAGATCAAGGTCCATTAAGTTCTTATGGCTTAGTAAAGTCCATCCAAAGAGTTTCAAGTCCTCAGGATGTTCGGATCACCAACGGGCGACTCGGTAGACACCGATCGATCGAAAAGTTGACTGAACAGTCAACTCTCCAACAATAAGGAATTTGACTTCATGGTGTGAATTAAAAATGTTCCTTATATCATATTACACATCCCCATAAAATTTCATGACCATTGGATCAAGGGTTGAGGAGTAATCGAAAAGTCGGGAAATTAGGGTTTTGAAAGGGGCTAAACCCTAACTCCCTAACCACACATCTGATTGAAGTGGTTCTAAGCTTGTT